GATGAATTGGTTCAAAAATAAAAGTTGAGGGACCAATTCAGGTATTTAACCTAAAAAAATATGTTAGCCACGTAAACATAACTATTCAATTAATCCTTAAATAGAAAAAGTTGAAAGTTAACATCCTTAAATAAAAAAGGTTGAAAGTTAACATCTTTATTTAAAAACTGATAAAATTAACATCTTTATTTAGAAAAAAAATTGAAAGTTGACATTCTTATTTAAAAATTAACAAAATTAACATTCTCAAATAGAAAAAAGTGCAAAGTTGGAATCCTTATTTGCACCTTTACTCCAGAAATCTTCACGAACAAAAGGAGTTAAAATTATTACAACCAAACAAGCCATGATGGGCACAAACATAACTTTTGATGGGACTTTATTCTTCATGATGAAGCAATAAGAAAAGCTACAGAAAGAAGTTAATAAACTAAATCATCATTTGAGATAGCCTTTGTCCTTGCAGCATTTGATAGCATCATCCAACATTTCCTCAACGCTGTACTTGAATTTGAAGCCACTCTCCAACAGTTTCTTTGATGACAGCCCAGGTGCTTTGAAACTTTGAACTTTTGCCAATGAACTACACCGCCAAATGAAACATTTTTGCTTTTCAAATTTCAACAAGAAGCATGAGTTCTAATATACAGGGAAAAGGGATAGCACTCACTTGGGGGAAGGTATTGTGAATTCTGGATATTTGGCAGAAAGAAATTGAGATAATTCCACGAATGTTATTGTATGGGAGGAACATATGTGCCTTCCAGACATTGTGGCATTAGGATGCTCAAGTAGGAAGATTTGTGCCATGGCTACATCATCAACATGCACCATCGATGCATTCAATAGGCTAATATATTCTTCACTTTTCCCTGTAGAGGAATGTCATGTATAAAAACAAAATTAGCTAGAGCCAGCTTTTCTATATATATGTAATAGGACAGTAGTAGGTGATCTAATATATACATACCAAAGACTGGAGCCAATGCCATGGACACAGACTCCGGCAGCTTGGGACAAATAAAGGGACCTACAACAGTGGAAGGGACTAAAGTGACTAGATCCAATCCATTTTCTGATGCAAATTCAAGAGCAGCCTTCTCTGTTAATGTTTTGGAAATCGGGTATGAACCTCCAGAAGATCTATATTTTTTTATGAAATCTACATCACTCCAAAAGCTTTCATCCATCACCGCCACTTCATTCCATTTATCGTTACCAAAGATGGCAGATGCACTAGAAGTGTAGACCACTCGTCTCACTGTCTTTGCTTTCAAGCATGCCTTTAAGATTCCCAGTGTTCCATTGATTGTCCTAGTGGCAACTATTTCTGGAGGTTCTCCATCTTTGAGGTCCATGGGAGTAGCCAAATGAAAGACTCCTCTGCATCCTTCAATGGCTGCATCAAAACTGTTTGGATCTTCAAGATCAGCATTGAAAATTTTCAGTCTTTCGGTTGCTCTAGGTAATTGTGTGAGGAAGCTAATGTCTCTCTTTTGCTCTGCAGTTCATAATTGAGACTAAAGATCAAATAGTTTATAAGCATTTATATCTTTTCAAGTAGTTGAATAATAAAATGAGCTTGTAATCAAAGTACCTGCTGCGTGAGTTCTGACGGTGGTATGGACAGAGTAACCCTGTTGAAGAAGCTTCATTATCAACCATGATGCAATGAAACCAGTACCACCCGTCACACACACCTTTCCTTTCTCTCCTTCCATCTTTAATTCTCAAGTCCCTGGTGAGGGCGAGCACCAAGAAATTTTTGTTTAGCGCGCACTATGTATGGAGTAACCCCGTTATGGTGTTCGTGTGAAGGTAACTTGATGGAATAGACTAAATTGTGATTGAAATGATAGTCTGTAAACCAATAAAAATAGATCATTCATTGAATCAAGCTGGAGTCACTGTCCACTATCACGCCAGCAGCAGACTTTCTTGAAGCCAACTAAGTTTTTCCATGGTCAACTGTCCCACCAGCAGACTTTGTTGAAGCCAACTTAAGTCTTTTTTCATTGTCGACTATCACACCATGAGTTATCCTATTGTATAATTTATCATCATACATGTCTATATATATATATATATATATAAACTTTCACACGCTCTCGTGTTGGTATGTATATTTAAAAAAATTGAAGTTTTTTTTTTTTTTTTGGTCAGATCCAAAACTCAAACACATATAAGTAGAGAGAATATCATACCAAAGGTAAAGAGTAAAAAGTAAATAACTTACATATGTAAAAAGCTATTAGTTTAACATGTTAGTTTTTTGGGTTTAAAATAGTGTTTTCACATGTAAGACCCCTATTTTAGTGTTGATGCTGATTCAATTGTTCAACCCAACAACTTGAGTAGTAATTAGTGGGAATGGCAATGGGTCCCTGTCCTCATCCTCATCATTGGTGAATATGAGAATTCCCATAGGAATTTTTGGTGGAGGGTAAAAAATATCCTTTATCCCCATCCCTATGAGGAATGAGGGATCTCCATGAGAAATGAGGGGTCCCCATGAGTATGGAGAATCTTTGCAAAAGTATACAAACATTTTTTTTAGTTAGATACAAAAATATTTTAATTCATTCAATTTTTAACCCAGAAGGATCTATTTTGCAAAGGAGAAGTTAGGGTTTATCAATGAAAATATTCTTATGGATTCTTAATTACATCTTGACTAATCTCACATGTAAAGGGTTGATTATGAACAAAGGATTTATAAAGAAGGAAGATGATTTTTGGGGCGAGAATGGAAAAAAAAAATGGAGAATTTAGGGTTTTTTATTTTTCACACGAAAAGAGTGACGTGAAGGGGTGTTATTAAGTCTACGTAAGCACCTTTACATGGTGGAATATCCACATCAAATGTTTCCGTTAAGATAACGTGCCATATGAGCAAAAATTAATGGAGGGACAAAAAATGAGCTAGATTTTAAACTTTAAGGACCAAAAATAGGATTTTTTCAGTATAGGGACTGAAAAGTGGCTTTTTTCAATAGTAGAGGACCAAAAAAGGTATTTAACTTTTTATGTTTTGAATTTGGCTTTTCATTAGGTATTTTAAAGTTTGTTTTTTTAATATTTCTTACTTCTAGCACTTTTACATGTTTTGTTTGGGGGGAGGATTCAACAACTCTTAGGGTTTCTTTGCATTTTAAGGATGCTTTTACTGAAGTAGAAGTTTCTAAAATTTCAAATTTTGGTGTTTCTTTGAATGAAGATCCTTTTAAGCCAGCTACCCATGCATACAAGATTGTTTTTAATCCTAGGATTGCTCAGAGTTTGGTTAATAACTCCAACATTCCTTATTATGAACTTTCTTTTAGTGAGTTTGATAAGGTTTTAAATCAAACTCAAAAAAATGCTTTTTTAGTTAGTATATTTATTACAGAATAATTTTATTATATTTTTATTTGTTTTAATTTATTTAATTGCACTGTTGGTTTAATTTGGTTTCTAGATTGAGTGATTTGCTTCTTTGCAGATGATTTGGGTTGTTATCAGTGGTACTTGAAGGAAGAAAGTGACAAAAAATGGTTATCCATTGAATATGATTTCATTTGAACTTAATGATCTAAGATATTTTTTAATTTATTAGTTTCCCATTATATTTCTTTCAATTTATTTATTTTTCTTCTTTCTTTCAAACAATGATAATAAGCTCTTTTTCAAACCTTTGGGAAAATTTTGTTAATAAAAAGTGTTTAGTGATTGACAAAAACCCCAATGAACCTATTAACTTTGTCATTCAATTTGCAAAAATGAAATCATGAAGAGGTTTTACTCTTCATTTTTAATTATCAATTTTAGTGTTTTCTTTAGATTTTACTCTTCTTTATTTGTTACCATGCCTTTCATTATGTAAATTGTATTGTTGTTTTATTGTTTCAAATTTTATTGGCCCCTATGATTGAAGGGAGCTGGATATGTTGATCCATGTTTCAGAGGGGAGAAAGGAGTGCTATATTGGCTAGCTCGACTCCAGGTCTATTTAGCTTTTAGTTTTTAGTGATGGGGAAGCTTCCATCTAATGAATTTTTTTAGCATACAGATGAGATGAGTATGGTTAAGTGGATGAGAAACATCAAGATGACTTCTAAAAATCCCACTCAAGCAATTAATCCAAAACTAATCATAAATGGGTATGAGAGCAAATGCTTTTGGTTCTAAAAATTGTTTTCTTCTGCAAGCTTCAGACAATCTAAAGGAGAGGCTTGGCGGTAAGGGTGTTAGGTGTATGTTGTCTCAGATTAAGCAGTAGGTATGCAATTAAGGAGATGTATCAGTTTCATTCCAAAATAATTATATCTAAGAAAATTAAATAATGTGTTGAAATCTATCCTTTAATGTTGTGTTTGCATGTGACCCAGCTATTGAGGTGCCTGGTGGCTTTCTATTTCAATGGTGGTCTGTCTTTTGGGACAAATTCATCGCTAGGACAAATGAGAAGCACTCTGAAGCTCTAACATTGAGGTCTGTTTCAAAAATAATTACTCTAAAACTGCTACATTCATTGAATGGTTGTTGGTTTATTTCTTTTCATGAATTCTTAAAATTTTCTATGAAGTTTCATAAGTGCTTTGCATCTGCAGGTGCTTGGCTGATGAGACTGCAGTCCTTTTACTTTATTCATTGGTGCAAGGAAACTCTGATTTTTTGGAATATGTTCTCATGCGAACTGATGTGGATACCTTGGTAAGCAGCAACTTCTACTATTTGCTAAAAAAAAAAAAAAACACTTTTGTTTAATTGAAGAGCCCTAAGCAATTCCATGTTGATTTAACAAAGTGCTTTCAAGTCCATTTGTATATATATTTTTTTCTTTTTTTGTTGGCAATTTAGGTAGCCTTTTCAAACCAGTTATCCTCTGTGAATTTAATTAATTCTTAAATCTTTTAAGCCTTTTTTGCTAAGTTCCCAGTTAATAATACTAATTTTTTTTAGGGTTCCTTGCTATATAAACCACCTCCACCACTTGCAGCTTTGCCCCCCATTAAAAGAAATGAAAGACATACAACAATAACTTATGTCAAATTAGGATTTGATCTTGCTTTGAGTTTTGTTTTCATGCTACAATATTGTTTTACATAAGATATCAGTTCATTTCGCTTTGATTTGGGCACATAACTCTTTAGCTTAATTTAGTTCATACTTCTTTTCAATAAATTTATCACTTATGCAATATTTAATATGAATGTGGCATACTTGCCGCATAGCCTAATACCAGCATGTGTTTTTATGATGAAATCAATGATGCCTATTCTGGAACCACCACATAATGCTTCAAGAGGGACATGTAATCAAATATACATGCTATTGATTATGTTTCTCATACTTAGTCAAGATTCTTCTTTTAATAGGAAAGGAGGTTGTGGAGAAGTCTACAAGGCTGAATTGCCAGGAAGAAATGGAAAGATGATTGCCATAAAGAACATTATTCAACCCTCAAAGGAAGCTACTGAGTTGACTGAAGAAGATAGCAAGCTTCTGAACAAGAAGATGCAACAAATTTGGTTAGCAATTGCCATAGTTGGCCAAATTTAGCACAGAAATCTTCTTCCTCTTCTGGTTCATGTTGGTTGTCTTGTCAAGATGAATCCATTGTCAAGTAGGTATTCAATCATTGTTAGTGCCTTCTGTTGATTCTTCTGTGTTTTGTTTCACCATGTGTTACCAGTGTTAATTGGAAAGTTATTTATTGAGGAAGCTTCTGGTCAAGTGCTTTATTTATATATTTATTTCTTCTTTCAAGTTACATGCTTTTAAGAAAAGAATGTTTTTTTTTTATATATTCATACAACTAAAGCTTTTTGCCATTTTATGTGTTTTAGGTTGTTATTTCCTAGATGAATGGACTAGATCATTAGTCGCACTTTTCCCATGTTTTTAATGGGTGAAAAATGAGAATAAAACTCTGTAGAGTCTAGATCACAAAGTCTAGACAAATCTATTCCACATCTATGTAGGTACTATCTTGGATGCTCCATGCTTTTCTTGTATAAAGTCTTTTTCAAGTTTAAGGGAATTGTGGGCCTCCCTGATCCCATGGTTAGTTTTGTGAAAATTTTTAAACTTCAATGAACAAGAATTCTTAAATTTTATGGTTTCCTCAATATTAGCTACGTGGAGTTAGAGGTGATGGTAGTATTGCATCAAAGTCATTGTTCTGGCAACCTAGAAAGGGGTGTTCATATGTATTGACATTTGAATCAAAACGAGAAAGGAATGTAGTCATTATGATTGCAAGAAAATATGCTCTTGATTGCAATGTAAGTTCTTTCTCTTTCTTAGCATATTACTGTAGTGCTTATATGCTCTCATAACTTTCTAAAACTTCCAATATTTTTGCAAAAATTTGATCTTTCACATGGTCTCTTCTTTGTTCTACACAAACGTGTATATATATAAGGGAAATAAGGAGCTTTGCCTACTTAGCTTTGCACAACTTGATGAGAAGCCTTTATTCCCTTTGCATCCCTCGAGTGATGGTCATTGCTCTTCATCTTAGAAGACTATCGTTTCGAGTATCAAGAGAGGATTCTCTGATGCAATGTATGGGTTTTCAAAGGTGAAACTACCTTCTGTTAAATGGTTTGCATTAGATTGTACTTTTTTAGAGGTTTAATTTGAAAATGGAAACTATGTGGTGCAGGGAAAAATGCTTTCCAACTAAGAAGCAAATGTGATGCTCTCACCTAGGCCATATTCAAACTTGAGATTGAAATCAAGTTCTGTGCTTGAAAACCTTGTATCTCAACCAACAAAAGCAAAAAGAGATAGTAATGATAGTAATTCAAAACGGTTCTTAAAGGTTAATTTTTAGATGTAACATCTTATGCTTTCTACAAGAGTATTCCTCACTGGGAGAGTAATAGATGTAAATGGATTTAGAGATCATTAACAACTCCAAAAATCCAACACTTTCTATGGCTTCTATCCCACCTAAGATTAAGTGCTTTGATTTCCCAAACAATTAAATATATATGTATTGTTGACATCATGAGGATTGAATTCCCTTAAACTCATTGATGTATTTTCCTTTTAAGTAATGATATGGTATCATTTTACTATTAATTAATGGTAAAAAGAAATTATTATCTAATTATTAACTTTTTATTAATAAATTAATTATTAACTATTAATTTTTTATTTCATAGACTTGGGCATTGCTCGGGATATTAACTAGTTAAACAAAAAGGTGAAGTAAGGAGAAATTAAGGTAGTAGAGAGAAGAGATGCAATAGTCAAAGTAGTCAAAGTATTTGTAACTAAAATTTATGGGTTTAAGAATTGACATACTTGAGTTTATTATAATTTATAATATTCTATTAATTTAAGGTTCTCCATGAGAATCTATGGGATAAAAAAAATTCTCTACAAAATTTTATGAGAAAAATAACCTTCATTTGCTTTCTATGAAAAAGAATATTCTAAAAATCTCTGTTCCATCACAAAGATTCTCATAAGATTTCACGGGTTATGGAAGAAGTTACCATCCCTAATAATTAGTACTAGTTAGTCCCTCATTGGGGCTAGATCATGTGTATATTTAGAAGGAAATTATACATATATATATATACACATGTAGCATTCCCTAGAACTATTTCATTAGCCTCTGTTTAACATTGTTTTTCCCACATTTTTTCCATTCTTTTAAATATGGTTAAATGTCAATTTTGGTCCCCTTAACTTTAGAGCTTTACATAATTTTGGTTTCTTATTTTTTTATATATTTTTTTTATCCTTTAATTATGAAACATATATTTTTTTAGTTTTTTCATTAATTAGTTCATTCAGTTTATCTATATATACATATTTTAATATGTTTAGGAACTAAATATATATATACTTAATAGACTAATTGACGAAATAATTAAAAATATATATTTTTCATAATTAAAAAACTAAAAAAAAGTTTGTTAAAAAATTGACAAACTAAAATTATACAAAAGCTCAAATTTGAGATATCAAAATTAACATTTAACCTCTAAATATCTCCCCGTTTGGTAAATTTCTTAGAAATTGTTTTTTGAGAAGGTCATCGGCGGCTGCCAATATAGTCGTTTTCATACATAAAATTAAGAGTTGCAATTTTATTCTTCGAAAAAAAAAAAGTTGCAATTTTAAGAAGAGTATATTGTTTTATGGTTCTGATTGTAAAATAAGTATTTTTAGAAATGAGGAAGGACTTCTAATATTAGAAAACACATGCATCTATCATTTAAAGATGAATATTTTACAGTTTAAATGTCCAAACTATAAAATAATTTTTTATTTTAAGAAAAAATATAAAAACAATAATTCAATTTAACTGAGCAACATTTCAGAACAACGTTAATTTAATTTTAATAATATCCATTAAATCTATACTACTAGTAGTAACGACTTAAATGCTAAAATATTTTTAGCAATAGTAATGTAATCATACCTATAATAGACACTAACTTGATACATACTTTTATTTAACATATTGTACAATATTTTTATTAAAAAATAATTATTTTTTAAGTTTAAATTAAAAATAAACAAATTTAAAAATATATTTATACTTATAAGATGCAAGATGAATCGAACTGTATTTATCTTATATTTTAATAATTAAATTGAATGAATGTTAAAAAATGTATTAAACCTAGCATATACCAATTATTTTCCAACTAAAACATGTACCACGAAGAAAAGTCAATGATCAATGGCCAGTGAACGTGATTTAGTTCTAAGTTCTCACCCCAAGTGTTAGATATCCATTCTTGAAATTTTAAAATCTGTTATCCTTATAATTTAGTTATAAAATTAACTATGTTGATATATATACTTACAATATCATATAAAATTACAAATTTATAACCTTACAATATTACTTTCTGTCCTAGAATAATAGACATTTTTTTATTTTATCTTTGGATTGAAGATTTGAGGACAATTTCTATTTTTATTTATTTTATCTTTAAAAAAATAATAAAGAGATTTTTTATGGTAAGATGAATAATCAAAATTAGAAATTAATGATAAAGTTAAAATAAAAAAATAGATATTAGTCTCCCTCAATATGAAAAAAAATGGCTATTATAAATAACTAGTGATTCCTGCCCAACTAGGCAGGCGATTTTGCCCTAAATCAGTTACTGATTTCATCTATATATTGGTATTGGAAGTTTTATAATATATTTGGATTAAAAAGAATAGAGAAGAGTGGGGAGAAAAGTTTTTTAATCAATCAAATCATAATGTTAAACATTATAATTTGATCAATTAAAAAATTTCTCCTTCCCTCCGCTCCCCCTTTCTCTATTCATTTCAATCCAAAAATATGGTAAGCAATTGGAGCATTATTTCTTGGATAAAATTTATACAAACATCATTTTCTCCAACTAATAGTTTTGCAAATTAGGAAATTGATTTATGTATAATCAAAGGCCATATTTATTGTTTTATAGGGCTGGAACTTTTCATTTTGTTGTTTTGGGATTACGTCCATGAACTTTTAATTGTACTTTTCATTTTGTTGTTTTAAACTAAATCTTAAACATTTAATTATACATAATTTTTTTTTTGTTATTTCTCACTTTTACTTTTTAAATTTTTTTATTACATTTGTATTTTTTATAACAGAAAAATAGGGCTACACATCTACGCTCCACACATAAATTTGTTCTTAATTTAAAATAATTTTTTATTAAATGTTTTTTTGATATTTATCCCATTTTATTATATTTATCAACATTTGAATATTAAAAAAGACATCTTTATTTTTAA